CGGCATTCGAGTTCGCCTCTCTGGGCTTATTATAAATTTCGAGCCGACTACGAGGAAAAATCAACAACCGCTGCTCCTGCGGCGTAATTAAAAATTTTCTGCGGCTAGAGGAAAGCAATATTTCCGTCGTGGACTCGTAGACAGCCTAGATACACGCTCGTAATTACGGCGCGTCAAATATTCGCAAGGTATACGCTGTAAGACGCGTGAGAGGCAATAAAAAGTCGGTCGAACGACGACGAAGCCGGCGTCAACGCTGGCGTCGTGGTCGTCCGCGACGGCGACGGCGACGGCGACGCCGACACCGACGACGCCGTCCGTCCAGGCGTCCATGATTACGCGTCGGCAAACGAGCCTTGCTATTCGATGCTCTTTGACAACGATAAAACGACTGGCATTCTAATTTTCTCCATCCTTGCGACCAAGTAAACGCAACGACCAAACGTTTACGCGTGCGACGCAGTGACGCTCGTTTCTTTTCTTCAAACGAGTCGGGGATGAGACAATATTTATTCGACAATCGAAAGGAACTCACCTCTTCTTCGGCTTCTTTCTCGATGGCAGTTAACGATTCGGCATCGGCAAGATTATCCACAGCGATGGCCAAGAAGACGTTCAGCAGAATGTCTGCGATATTTCCTTCGTCAAGGATCATTCAACGGGAAGAAAAGAGCGACATTCGTGACATACGGAGATGTAGTCGTACGATCAACGAGGCTCACACGCGTATTTTCGTGCAAAAAGGATACAATTGCCGCATATGAAGAGAATGATGAAATAGAAACAGGCAAGCATGCCAAAGCTTGAAACGCCGCCATAGGCTCTGATTCCATCGTACATAACGGCGTTCCAATCTTCACCGGTTAATATCTACGAATGAAACGGGAACCAGGGTGTAGTCGATGTTCGTTTTAAAGGTATTAGAAAGGTGGAAGCTTACCTGAAAGACGGTTAGCAAACTTTGCCAAAAACTGTCGAAATTGTGACGAGGCTTGTTCTGTAAATCGCTAAAATTGAATTTCCCTCCAAACACCTGCGGGAAAATAGAGAGCGTAAATTTCGAGATCCTTCGCGATGGTTGGAATCGAGGATCAGAAGTGGAATAATTCGTACCTGCATGCCTAGAAGTGCAAAGATCACGATGAAAAGGAAGAGCAGAAGCAACAGAGACGCGATCGATTGTATCGAGTTTAAAAGGGAAGCCACCAAATTCGACAACGACCTCCAATATCTAGAAATTGAACGTTCGTCGATAGCGTTACCCTTGCTTATTTCTTCTCAGATATTGCTGAGGAATCGTTGTAGCGCTTAATCCTGCAGACTTACTTTGTCACTTTAAATACCCTGAGCAACCGGACGCAACGGAGAACGGAAACGCCGAGCGGTGGCATCACGTGAGTGTTCGTCAGGATCATCTCGGTAATCGATCCGATCACGACGAAACAATCGAAACGGTTGAATAGCGAAACGAAATAACCCTAAACAATAGCAAGTATTTTTATCGAGACAAAATGCCAGCCTGTCGATGGGGACCGGTCGAGGCAACGCGCGAGACTTACTTGGAATCCTAAGCTATACATTTTCAGCATCATCTCCATGGAAAACAACGCGATGAAAAACATATTCGTGATTTCTGTGCAACGAAAAAACAATTTAGATCGTAACCCGAAGAGATGGAACGGCGAGAAAAATTAAAGAACAATCGGTTACTCGCATACCTTGAAAGTCGTCCAACCAGTGCGGCTGATTGTAGTGCTCGGTCGCCAGAACACCGGTATTCAGGAAAACCAATACTATAATCAACCAGTAGAAAACCTGCGACTTGACGGCTTTTCTGCAGGCCCTCCTCATTCTTCTGTTTACTCTGTGAATTTCCATCGCAAACACGTACAATGAAAAGCAAGCAATAGGCAAATAACGAAACTCTCCGACACAACGATACCTCGGCGACTCTACCAAGGGCCAATTAATACACTGTGCTCTCGAAAATGTATTCGCAGATAAATCGTATAATCAGCACAGGCTGAAGGATTACGCGAAAGGAAAAGGCACGTCCACTTACCTATCGAAATCCAGCTTCTTCCTTCTCCACACGGATTCCTGTTGAACCACTTCCTCGTCGCCCTCTAGCTGATCCGTGCTCTCCATCTCGCTCTGCTGTTTCGCTGTAAAAATCATTTTATCCAATGAATTCCTGTCGAAGCACACGAAATTCCTCGCAGATAGAACACGTACTCTTTCCGTCCTGCATTTTCGGTTCGTCGGTCTCCGGCTCGATGTCCTCGGCTTGCGTGATCCAGTCCAGATAACCCCTGAGATCGTCCTCGATCTGCTGTTTCTCCCTGAGTTTGTGGAAGTCTCCTCTCGCTTTCGCCTTCTCTCTCTCTTTAGAAAACTCACTGCGCCAGGTTGCAACGTGATTAAAGACATCGATCTCGCAATAATCTCGAGTGTAATTGAAACGCTCGCGAACGAAACGGAAATCGAGAGCTGCCTTCGAGATCAGCGCGAACGGGGGCCAAGAGGAGCTTGATTCGCGAGATTCGTATCCATCGCGAAGCGATACAAGCCACGATCTACCAAGTTTCCCCGTTTTATTTTACCTCCTCGAAGCATTCGAGCAGTTTCACCGTTTCGAGCGAAACGACAACAAATTTGCCGCACTTTGACAAGACGCTGTGTCACGGTTCGATCACTGCCGATGCGCGAGAAGCGTCTCGTACGAATCGGTAGTACCGAGGAGTAGTCGAAAGTAGGAATAAGCGAACCGCGTAGTCGGAAATGGAAAAATTTAGTCGATCTTCGCAGCACGATCCCAGCTATTCTAGCTCGCAACTTGGATACTCACCCGGACAGAACACCGAGAATCAGATTCATGACGAAGAAAGCTCCGAGTATGACCATAGAGATAAAATAAATCCACTGCCAGGAACTGCCCATCGCGTCTTCGATCGCGTAAAGCACTTCGGTCCAGCCCTCGAGCGTCACGCATTGGAAGACCGTCAACATGGCCAAGCCGAAGTTGTCGAAATTCGTGATACCCCAGTTCGGGCCCTCCCAGAATTGCTTGCTGCAATAGAACTCGGGTCCCACGTTGTCGCACTGGAAACCACCGGGCCCACAGGGTATCGGGTCGTCCATGAGTGTACCTGCGAATTCGTTCCATCGCGGGGATGGTTTCTTACTCGTTTTCATCGGAACGTTCTACCCTCTGCTCGTGCAACGGCATCAGGGGAAAGACAGAAGAGGATAACCGACGCGGTGGCCAAGCCGATCTCGCGCGGATCGACCTTCGTGTCTAGGCTGTCAAGCGGGATACGCGAATTCGCAGGTTCTCGTGAATCAGCTGTTTACCGTGAGAGACGCACGGCCACGCAGATCGCGTACTGTGCGCTAAGAATAATTAGACGTTAGTTTCGCCGCGGCTGAATCATATCTAAAATAGCGCCGGTGCAAATTGTGTTTCGGGGTTAAGACGGGAACTCCCGCGGCGTCTCTGCCAACTGAACCGCGATATTTCATCTTTCAAGGAATTCTTTCCGGCCTGGGCCCGATCGATGGGCCACCACCGCGATGCCTTTTACGTAATTCCGATCGTCTAACCGCGGTGGAAGGATACGTTGCTGGATCGCTGCACTTGGCCTGAAGGGGACATCGTTGACAGACGTAACTTACCGGTAAGATTGTGCCTGCACGTTTTATGCATTTTCCCAGAGAACAGCTCGAGGCCGATGATAGCGTAAATAATGATGACGAACAGAACCAACAGAGCGATATGGAGAAGGGGTATCATCGCTCTCAAAATAGAGTTTAGGACCACTTGCAGACCTGCACAGATCGACAGAGAAATTCGTCACGCCTCGTTTCCTTTCCTCTACTCGGTCAGGCTCTATCGAAAAACGACAAAAGGATGCGCGCGTACGAACAACTGCATCCTCGCTGTCCGATCGAACCATCCCCGTGGAACTTATCCCTTTGACATGGAAATCTTACTTGGTACTCCGGAAACCAGTCTGAGAGGTCGCAGCACCCGAAAAGCTCTTAACGCTTTCACATCGAAGCCTTCTTTCATGAGTATCGTCAACACTGTGCTCACCATCCTGCAAAGGAACGGTATGAAAATTAAACATCCGCTCCTTTCGCCATCCTCCGTTTCTCTCTGTCGTCTTCTCTCCCTCCTATTATCCTCGCAATAATTCCCATTCAATCCCGTGGCTCGAAGACTTCGCGAACAGGTAGTTCCCGATACGCTAAACGTCGAGTAGCACGATGCTTGATACGGCAGCGAACTCGAATCGAAATTAAAAGTATCCCGTCCCGCGACCCAAGACAGACTCGGAGAAGTCGAAGGAAACTCTCCCGTTCCGTGAAGCAAGCAGAAGTTATTGGATCGAAGTGGAGCGCGAAAGTGGGAACAAAGAGAATCCCGTGCCGATTCAATGTCACCGGGATATCGCGCCCAACAGACGACGCGACACGCTTTTATACGAAAACCGGAAACACTTTTGGCGAACGGCGAATGGCGACAAAAGTAGAGCGATGCAGGACGAAACGGGTATCTCGATCTGGAAATCTGGGGGCAGTAAAATGTCCGCTATTGACTTGGACGATTCCCATAATCGCCGATTTACGACGTACACGTGTTCCCCCTTTGGACCGATAAACTTACACGAGGAAGAAATCGACATCCTCGCGAGAGCGAACGCGCCGTTAACGGCTCTCGGATTTCGATTTAAATAAATTTCGACTTTCCACGAGAAACTTATAAACGGTCGATACGTCTTCGTACATTTAGCGAGCGCTTTTTCACGCGAGTTCGGTCGCGACTTTAATTAAAACAGAATTAAACTCGGACGGTTATTCACCCGCGAAACGCGGCATGCACCGATGACGCGACATCGGGGACCATAAACTACGCGTTTCCACGCGAGTAGCGGAATTCGTTGGTCCTTTCCATGCTTCGTATACGAGTCTAAATGAAAAACGTTCGTACTTACCCTATCACTACTATAGAGAAATCTAATATGTTCCAGCCGTTCCGAAGATAAGCGCCGGGATGAGCCACGAAGCCGTAAGCGATGATCTTCATAACGCACTCGACCGTAAAAATCACAAGAAATATATACTCTATTTTTTCCTGAAACATGACCAAAGCAAGCGCAACGTGAGATAAAACGGAGAAGCTCGCTAGAACCTCCCTGGACGTGACAACCCTTTCGACCAATCGATCGCGCGTTTAATTCCCGTCCCACGCGAAATCGTTCGCGTGTCGAACGTTACGCTTTAATTAGGTACAAAGGGTGTAACTGCAAGGACAGTGCCGTTAGTTTACCTGCAGGGTTCACGCGTTCGAAACTCAAAGAGCGGTCGCGTATTTTCATCGATATATTCGGAGCACCGTGGTCCACTGCTCGTTGCAGTTTCTACACTTGTTTCGACCAGCTGTCGCTTTATGCCATAAGCACAATCGCAATTCGACTAGAAATTCGCGTGACAGGAAAGCGTGACCTCAAAAGTTGACTTCGCAAAGCCGGCGAATTTCCTGTCGTTTCCAGGTGTAAAAAGTGGAAAGGTCCGCGACACGAGCGATTAGCAGTTGATCGAGTCCATTCATATTCTGCAGAGGATCTCCAAACGCTACTTATGCCGCGTGTGGATTATCAATGGCTGATCAACACCGTCTACACCCACTTGTCCGTTGTACGCTCTTCTTGGCACACATCGGCAAACGAGTGGAGAGGATTCGTGACGTAAACGTTCCAACGGAAGGAAAATCGTTGGTGACGAGTTACGACGGCGAACGTCGCGTTCAATGATCGCCACGGATCAACCAGGATTATATCCGAGAGGGAAAATTTACGCGATTACCGTGTGTCCTCTGCATCTCCAGCGCGTTATACGAATTTTAATCGTTCGATTAGCGTTTAATTTGAAAAAATATCACTTTAAAACTCGACCGTCTTCCGGCATCGGTATGTCTTTCTTATTTTCGTACCTTAAATCCAGTCTTGAAAAGAAAAACCCGCGCGTCGATGTACACCCTTTATGTACCAAATGCTTTTTGCCAAAGTTTCCGGTCTGACGCGGCACAGAAGCGTTTACTTTACCGGCAGTAGTAAGCCCGTGGAAAAAGGCCGACCTTTAATAGAAGGTTTTATTCTTCGTCTCGAAGGCTAGGTCTTAACGTATTATCTGGGAAAACCTTTTATCCATTTTCCGGAACACGGGCTCGCTAGTTTCGACTCCATCCACGCTCGAATTTACCTCGACCCTCGTTCGACGTTCCTTCGAACTATCTTCGATCGTTTTTCTTTGACCAACGAAACACCACCGTGCTGTACCGCTTTTCGCTATATTCGCTATATTCGCTTTTACCGCTTTCCCTTTTAATCATTTTAAGTAGCACGCACATTTTTATTCCCGCGATTTCAGTCGCGAATGATCGACCGTTCGCTGCGCGGCACAAAGACCATCGCGATGGAGGTTTAAAAAAGCGAACATCGATATCAGGAGCCGGTAGAACGGTTAAGGAGGAAATGCTAGGCGGATGGCTCACGAACCGGAAACGCAGCTACTATGAAAATGCAGCGGCAGCGCATGAACGTCGTCTTTCCGTTCGACCCGTATACACTGGCCTATATATGAATCATATTTTCCAATAATAGTGGGGAACGATGGATGCCGATGTTAGCAAGATTGAGCAATTATCGAAGTTTCACCTCGAATAAGTTTCATGCCATCAACCCTATCTCTTGGACATAGTGTTTATTTATCGATAACCCGGCCGGTTCGCGTGGTTCGACGAACGGAACTGTTATTCCTATTATCTTCTCTATTATTAGCTTAATCGAAATTTCTCGATCGGAGTTCGTCGTTCGAGCCATATTTCCGTCAAACATCGCGTCGCGTCGCGATCGGGAAGTCTGGCTCGGATCGGTCGAGCTTCTGCAAAAAGTAAACGAAAACGTTGACGGAAAAAAAGGGAACCGTGGAGGGTGTTTATCTCTCGTGCTAGACTTCTGGATCGTTAAAGAGCTTAGCACGTGGCATAAAATTTATGCCGAAGAAGAACGAAAATAGCGCAAGGTCTTGCCGGTGTGTTAATCGCGTTAAAGGAAAAAAGAAGAAAGAGATCGGGTTGAACGGTAAAGTGGGGCGAGAATGGTTCGTAATGGAAAACGGTACTTACCAAATACTGGTTGGTCAAATTAGAATCGCCATATGGATACGGTGTGTAGACTGCCAGGGCGACGCAGTTCGCGAATATAGTCATAAGAATAAGCCACTCGAAAGGTCTGCGAAAGTTGCGTGGATGTAAGATCTAGCTAAGGAAAATAAAAGTAAACGCGATAACGCGCCCCCGATGGTTCGTCGAAGGCGCTATGGGAAAACTTTCGTTGGTACCTTTTTTCCCGATCCTCACCGTCAGTCGCAGATGCGATACGCGTCTGTCAAGTCCTCGAGAGCTTTTAAATACGAAAAGAGCACGAAAAGATGGAAAACTTGTAGTCGCATCGCGGGTGAAAGGTATTCCTTGCGTTTTCTTCGGTTCGTTTCTTCGGTCGTTCGATCGAGAAGCGCGCGGAGGAAGAAAACGAAGGTCACCCCCACGATCGACGGAGGGAAACTTTTTTGTTATCGTATTCCGTATGGAATAGACGGCACAGACGGCGTACACGTTTTACGTAACAATGCGAGAGAGGGATAGGATCGGAACAATGTACCCTGGAATCGGTTTGTCAACAAGGGTTGGCGTTCACGGCAACTTCCCCGGCATACGTTTCCGCTCGCTTCCATTGGCCTATTTCGCTTTGGAACAAGCGCGCGCGATACGCGTGGAATAGAAACGTGTGTGTACGCGTACGTTACGTTCGCGGCGACAGCTCGGACACGGCGAAAAGGAAGCGAGCGGAAACGAACGGCACTGGTGGAAAGTTTAAAGGACAAAGTCGTTTTCATGGCACGGTGGATAGAAAGTTGGAAAAAGGATACTTCCATTCGACCACGTCGATGCACATTTTCCGCAAGGGATTCTTAAGGGGTAAACAAAAGAGGGCCCTGAGCGGCCTATCGGGCAGCGCTTTGCCACCCCTGCGAGCCGGCCTCTTGGTCGCGGATTTGGCGGCACCGGTGGTGGTCCCGGGTGTCTGGCCCGTCTGAGACTGCGCTGTAGCTGGCTGTCCGTCCTGGGCAGTTTGGGGGTTCCGGTGCTGCCCGAGGATGGGGGGGGTCGCGGCAGTCGGCTGGGCCCCCGGCAGCTCAGGGGGGCCCAACCCCGAGCCCCCATCCCCCCCCGCGCTCATCGGTCCCTACTCCGCGCCTCGGTCACCTCCGTGCTTTTTTCTCCTCCTCCTCTTCTTCTTCTTCTTCTGCCCCTTCTCCTTCGCTTCCGCTTGCTGCCTCCTCCCCCGACCCCGCCGCCGCCTCCTCCGCCTGCACTGTTATGCTCGCGTAGGTACGCTTCTCTGGCCCCTGCCTGACCACGCAGACGCCCAAGTAGACGCCTGACGACGCCGATCGACGCGCTCTCTCAGAGACGCCCCACCACCCGCTGCAGCTCGCCGGCATGCTACGGCACTGAGCTCTTTCGAACCTCCCTCCGTGACCTAAACATTTTACGTAAACTATTAGTGCGCCCTTTCTTCTCTTACCTTCTTCCCCCTGCTCCCTTCTCTCCGTTTCGCCGTCGAGTACAACTCGCGACGCTCGGAACAACGTCGGCGAGAACAGCAAAGCCGCGGTGGTTGCTTCCACCGCTGTTCCTCCGGAGTTCGAGCCGGAAGCGATAAATATTTATGAACGCGAGACCGAGCGGTTACGCTCTCCCTGTCTCGCAGCGTGTTCGCTCGGCCACGTCCATGTGCGGGGACGCGAGCAACGGCGGAAAAAGCATCGAATCTAAAAGCCGTTCGCTGTTTCCCACCTCGAAATCAACCCCCGCGTCGATCTTGCCTCTCCGTCGAAACAACGACCGCAGCTTCGCTCCGAAAGCTCGCGGGACAGCGCGCGGACCGAAATGCCCGTTAAATCGTAACGTCGGAAAAAGGAGAATCCGCTCGAAAGCGACCTCTCGATTAAGCCACGTAATTGATCCTTTGACGGATAACGAGACTCGGCGAGTGCGAAACGAAATCGCTTCCGCTTCGATTCACCCGCTCCATGGGTTTTCCCTTCGAAACGACCTTTAAACCCTCTGTCCCGTGCGAAGATCCCAGCGGACGGGATTAGAGCGCTGCCGTTAGCGCCGATTCGCGTTTGCGCTGCTATCGATCGGGGAAGATCGTAGAACGGGAAGAGCTATAGGACCAACGGCGCTAGAGTTTCGGCAAGTCCGGGAGTCTGGGATTTATAGTGGACTCGCGCTATATTTAGTGAGCCTAAATACTAGAAAGCTCTACCTACGAGCGAGTTCCTCGCGCGCGTGCCTGTTTCCGTCCCGTCGCGTGAACTTGTCTGAAATCGTTGGACACGACTGATCTACTGCCCCCTAGGAGCTAAAGGTTCACGGTTTATCGTCTCGTCGCGAACGGATCTCGCGATTTCTACGTTACATCGTCGCACATCCGGACGCGACTCGAGAAAATCGAGAACCCATTGATAACTCGTTCGTATCGATGAGTCCCAGGGTGTTTACGAATCGGAGTAAATGCGGACGATTTCCCGGGAAATCGCGTCTTGTTCCTTTCCGCGGAAATGACTTAAGAAACTAATTTCAATGACTACGTCACGCAATTCTCCGTGTCCAATTTACGCGCAACAAATACGCTACTCCGCTATGACGCACGTATGGCAAATATCCGTGATCCGTGGGACTCGAGTCCTCGTGGATCGTCGAACAGATTCGAAGGTGAAAACGCGTTCAGTTTCGCGGACGAGGAGGATAATTAACGGAGTTTGCGAAAAGGTAGATGACAAAGATTATCCCAAAATGATAAATCGATCGATGATTGAAAACAACCATCGGCGATGCTCGATTCGCGGAATTCGGGAAAGGTGGGAACCGAATTTTTATTTTTTATCCTTCTTCCCTGATTGTTCGATCGGACGTCGATCAGTGCTAACGAAGTTTCCTCGTGTCAAACGGATATAAAGACACGCTCGCTCGTAAGATAGTCACCGACTGGTGCTAACGAGTTAAATTTAGTTCGCCACTTTGCTCCCACGGAAGCATCGAGCAAGCTGGGCCGCTTACCCGTTTACCCGTTTACCTCCTGGCATGCGCTACGCTCGATCCTCTCTCGATCATCTCGATCCCTTCTCGTTCGATAGATTCCAGCCCTATTCTTCCCGAACGATGCACCTCGATTTCGCGTTCCCGTTTTCCACCCTAACCTTCGAAACGTCGCGATTCTTTAACGAGGCGCCATGGAATGCAGCTACGCGCGCGCGATAAATAAGGTAGAAATCGATATGGCTGTAATAATAGGTGTTACCAACTTTTTCCTTTTTGCGCAAACCTCTTCTATATAGGGTACTTAATGGAAATATGAAACCAGATACGACGTCAAAGTACTTGGATACTTAATCATCCACAGCTGCGAGTGAAGCCGTGGTGACTCTTAGCGATCAAGCTTGTACGGGTAATCTAGTAATCGAGAATCGATCGTATCGATTAAGCTGCTTGCTTGATTGATGTTTAGATTACTGGAGAAACTAATTGGCAACTGGTACTAACAAGGATTCACGCGGCCGGGCTCGTTTGGCTTGCGTTAATTACAACTTTATCGGTTAACGATATAGAAATCGATAGCGAAGAACGCACGGCAAAAGCGTCGCTCTCGTCAACCGGCCACGAATCTTTGCAAACGATACTAGTTTTGGCATAAACGAACGAGCTATTCGAAAAGAACGAAGCGTCGCGGTAATCTGTCACAACGTTGACGCTTTATGCTTTCCAAAGTGTCACGTATCCAATTTCGTTGACGCGTTTCGTATGAACGATCGCGGTTTCCAGGCGAATGTTTACGTAACTCATTGAAACGGATTTTGGCAAAGAGGCGGAGGGGGCTGGAGAAAGCACCGTGCATCGCGTAGAGAGCGACGCCTTAATCGAGAAGATTGACTCTTCTTGGCGGAAGGTTGGCGGGGTGTAAGGTGAAAAAAAAATAAAGAGAAAACAGGATAGGGGATTTATGAAAGAGGGACAAAGAGGAAGGGAGGAAAAGGGAAATCGAGGGCGGAGCAATCCTACGTAATTCTATTGTCCGCTAACTCGAGCCGAGTTTTCCAGGCTGATATCAATATTTCAGCATCACAAAGTCGTTCCCCGACTTCGTGAAAGAAGGCCGATCGTTCGTGAAATATGTAACCCCCACTCTGCATCTCTCGTCCCTTTTGTTTCCCCGTCCTCGTCTATTTCGAACCATTCCAAATACGCGATACAACGACGAGCGAAGAAGGAAGAACGATCGAATTCCGTTTCGTCGAAACGGAACAACGTGGAATCGTTATTACGTGCAACGGAATTCGAAAACGTCGACGAAACCCGTTTAGAATTAATTGGTCCCGCTGCGATTACTCGAGAGTAGAGGCAACATCGACCGTAAGGAGAACGGATATAAACAGCTTGGTTAATTTCTATTATATTGACCAATTCCTAAATACGATACCGATAATGCGAGACCGATAATGAAACAAGCTCAGGTGCACACAGTGATGTCATAGAAACGCATCGGAGTTCGATATTAGCTAGGATTCTTAAGTAGATTAATATTTGCCGATTACCTTTCCCGCTCGCAAATTTGTTAGCTCTCTTTGCCATTTTCCGTCTCCCGCACCCGATCACTCCGAGGGGCATTTGCGTTTCCGCTCTTCGCGTTCATTACCTCGCGTTAAATCGACCTCTTTCGTTTCCACGATCGCGAACCACCGTCCGAAATGATCCGTGATAATCTCGTGGAATACGAAATCGCGTAGTCTCGCGGCGACGGTTCGAATTAAAATAACGCGAAAAGTACTCGAGGCCGAGCGTTTGGTAACGCCCGTAGCCCGCTCATCCCGCGATCGGAGCTTCTTCTCAAAACCGTACTCGAGATATTTTTACACCTAGACACATGTCCGGGCAGTCGTCAAGATCGTCGAACTCCTCTTATCTTTCGTTTAAAATAGCATAAACTCGAATTGTACGCTAACTCGTTTCGCATCGAATTTCTCGTTCGCGTGTTTTCCGCGGACTCGACGACACGAGGCACGTCGAACCGGTGGATAGAAGAAAAAAGGAGGGCTTTAAAAATAGTTGATACTCTAGGTCACGAAGCCGAGTGCATTCGGGATGATATCCCGACGGCGAATCTGCAGAATTGACGTTTCTACCTTGAAAGAGACACTTGTAACCCATCGATGACTCGCCCACCCTCTTCCGTTCTCGCGTCCCAAGTGGATGATGCCCTTGCGACTCGGATAAGACGCGTGCCCGATACTCGAACGTGCAAGTTCCGTCTGATTTACCCGTCTGATTTACCCGTTTAATTTACCCGTCTCTAGCGTTTAATACTCCACCGAGAGACGTATACTTCCGTTACCGTTTCCAGCGTACACGTTCCAGGGATTATACCCGACTATTTACGACTTATCACGGGTACATAACCGCGAAAGGTTATGAACTATAAACGGGAAAGTTTATTCGGTTGGCAAGTGCGCGGAGAAGAGGAAAATCCGGACACTCGTGCCGAAAGGAATTTCAAGCGAGCAGACTTAAACGATACTCGGCATTTCTAGCCGGTTGCGTTTAAGAAGCTGTGGATATTATTCCTATTATTCGTACTCTGATCGATTCCCCTTGCCTCTCGGCTCTTTTATAGCTCGACTCCATGTTTCTTTCTCTCCTATTATTCGCGTTTCCATTTATCCCCGTGGATAAATCTATCATGCCGCGAATAGATGACTGTCTATTTCTCCGACGATCGAACGCGAACCGTGCGAGTCGATATCGTTCCATGTTTCCTCGAGGATACGGACGTGGTAGCTAGAATTTTCGCGAAATTATCGATACGCGCGTTGCCAGCGATTCGGGATAATCGGTTTGCACTGGATCGAGGGAAAAATAGAGAAAAATAGAGAAAAATAGAGAAAAATAGAGAAAAATAGAGAAAAATAGAGAAAAATAGGGAAAAGATCGGGATAGCTTCTGTTCGATTAAAGCGGATCGATATCGTCGAAGCTCGCAGCGTTTCAACGGTAACGAACTGTCTAGATAGAAAAGGAAACGATATTTCCTTGCTGCTAAAGCAATCCGTCGACGGAAGCGTGGTGAAACGGAAACCCAATGGAATTGCAATTCGAACGTCATCGCGCTAATCCCGCATTGGGAAAGAACGTTACCACGGCATTGTCTCGAACTTTCTTATCGTCGCTCGCCGGACCACATTAAAGGATCGTTTGCTTTAGTCCGGATGGATCGCGA